CATAATATGTCCCCTTTAAAGGGACTGCTGCACCCAAATTGCAAAAATAGTAGCATCCAGTCATGCATAAAGTTTAGGTTTTAGCAGCTTGGGGTTTTTGGGATATTTGTCACTAAGGTTTCTGCCTCTACAGCGGTGAGGAATTACATTTTTTTACAGCAATATCTCCTTCCAGAAAGTGTGTCCCAGTGCCTCTGTATAATGATCAGACATCATTGTCAGCAGTTTTCTTTAGGACTATTTCTTTGGTAGACAGTCCAATGAAAACTGTTCTGGTCTGTCTGTGGATTATCCAGAGTACTGGGGACATTGTAGAGTGAATTGTTGCTGTTGAATTCTTTAAATGTAAATTTTTTTTTAATGTAAACTTGGGCTGCCCCGGAAAAGTTCACGATTCGAATCATCAGTCAAGAAGACTCAGAGTCGACTCGCTGTTTTCCAAAGAAGAGTGATAGTTAACAGAGAACAAAGTGACATTGCCGGACTGCTCTGACATTCTCTGCTCCAGTAAAGTCAGCTAAACCACTTGGTACAACTTCCTTTACTCCTGTCTACTGTCACTGACTCTTGGGCCAGCAGGAGAGACGCTCTGTGGTGGCTGTGGGATTTTATAACTTAACTATGAGCAGGATGCACACTTTAACTTTCTCTGACTGTGTGGAAATATGATGTTTTCACATCACAGATGACGAAGAAAGACATTATAACGTGAGATCGGCTAAAACACAAGACTCATGTAGCCGCGTTTCTGCCGCAGGAACTGCTTATAGGAGTTTAAAGGTGTTGAACAGGCCAAATCTGATTTGACTGACAACATTCTGTGTTGGGTATGGCCCTACTTTGAACACATACAGCGGTAATGCAGGTGTTCGAAAGGTGAAGCTTTCGATTTACCAGTCCATCTACGTCCCGGTTTTCTGGGCAAGTCCAAATGTATAACCAGGACACGGTGGAGAGATCATCCTATCTGGCTCGGGAATACCTCACGATCCCCCAGGAGGAGCTGGAAAACATTGCTGAGAGAGGCACATCTGGACTATGTTGCTTAGCCTGCTGCTGCGACCCCGCCCCAGATGAGCGACAGAAAAAGGCTGGATGGATGGTGAACACCAAAAACTTTCACCTGAAATATATTGTCTGGATGCCAAGCAAGAAAACATGTTTTTCCTGTAATTTCAGTGGACCGTTAAAGGTGGTGCAAAGCCTGATGGGACATAATTTACTATGTACCTTTTGGCAGTCGGACACAGGTTGCACTTTATGTTGTGCTGTTTAAAGTCAAAATGCAGCAGATTTCGCTTCCTCGGGTAATAACAGTTATCTGCTGAAGCCCAACTTGCTCACTCTGTAAATCCACAGAGCGAACAACCAACACCCTCACTCTGTGGCAGGTCACAGAGTGGCTCTGCTAAAGGGCTCTGCTGCTGGAGGAAGATTATTGCACCAGCAGGTAGGGAGATCTGTAAAATCATCAGGGTATGAGCTGGTCTAAAAAAAATAAAAAATAAAAAATGTTTCCCTTGTGAGCACCACACACTTCAGTGAACCCAAAGAGCAGACAACGGCAAATGCAGGGTGAGACATCGACTGTACGCCTGGGGAATAAAGGAAATTTCTTTGCATGCTCATGCTTTGTAGCTAATATAGAGGTAGCGGAGGGGATCTTGCAAACAGAAAAGCATAAGATTAGAAGGAGAGAGAGTGAGAGGAAAGTTTTATTTAAGGCTACTTGACAGAAAACTGTTTGGTAAAGCTTTCTCTGATTGAGACAAATATTGATAACAAAAGTAGACTCCATAGCATTCAAGCTGTGAGAATATCTGTGTATGAATGAGAAGAAGGATGTTGTCCTCAATCAAATTCTGTCATAATACTTACTTAATACTTTGTGGCTGAATTACCCCTAGATGCCACTAAATCCTACACACTGGTCCTTTAAGAATATTAACATTTGATAAAAACAGGAGTTATTGTTCATCTCCAAGACAGCTGACTTGTTTGGAGCAGTTTGAAATTAATATTTATTGCAAGATTTAACACGGAAATCAAGAAAGTACACACACCCCGAGGGTTGAATATGCAACACCATATGTGTGCAGTTCCAAATTTATCAACTAAATATCACATTTTATTTTTTAAGAAGAGGTCATGTCTGGTTGTATCCTCTTCAACAGGACTCTCTACAGGTTTTTTAGCAGTGAACTGTCTTGGTAGCTAATCCATGACCACGATAAGCCTGTTGTCACAGGACCTTTGTGTGACATTGACAAGGAAGCATGTGTGGTAACATATTCTGATAACACAATGCAGAAAAACTAGTTTTGAAGATTATATGACCAGTTTGATGACCGAAATTTAGGTTTTTCCTTATTTTACTGTATTTTTAATTATTTATTTGGTATTAGTTTGTCCTGTGTAAAGCACTGTGTAGCCTGTTTTTTTAAAAAGTGCTGCACAAATGCTTATTATATACTGTATTAGTATATATTATTATTATATATATATATATATATATATACATGGGAAAATGTCATCGCAATGCATATTAATTCTCAAAATGGTTATTCTATAATTAGATACTATATCATACAATTCTGATGCAAATTCACTCTATATAATAAGATATTTCAAGTGCTACTTAAAAGCTAAATTCAGTAGGTCAGAAATGTAGTATAATAGGAGTGACACAACTGGGACTAGTTTTTATAATATAGAACAAAAAGTGACATAATGTAAGCAGCAGTCCGCACATGTCCTGATGAGTTGAAACAGAGTGTGTGGTTACAGCAGAGAGAACGGCTGTGAGGATCTTCTGTTGGATGCTGTGTTGCTAATCCTTCAGCATTGATCGCTGTAAGCCCTCTCAGACCTCAATCACAGCCACATGTAGTGGAGCAAAAACCTTTAGAGGGGTCAAGGAAATGCCAGCAGGAAAACAGGGGATTTCTTATAATTCAAAAGCAGCCGGTTGTGAAGGACTGTAGAGGAAGAGGGAATGGTTGTAAAAACTCTACCTGGTATCTGTAGCTGTCAATCAACTGGATCTGTCAGTCTTGCTTGTAAGAAGTAAGACTGGATGTTTTTCAGCGATATGTATCAAATGCGATACACTGTTGTTTTTGCTTTGTGTACATTTTATGGTTTGTTTTCGCACTGATAACACTGAGATGAATTTGTGTACACTTACCATACACAGTAAACACAGTAAATGTGAT